GTCCCCAAGAACTTGCTACCCTCTCATGTGCCTAGATATTCTCACAAATCCAGGAAGCCCAGCAGCTTCCATGTTCAAGGTCTTTATTATTATTATTTATTTTTATCATGATTGGGTGAAAGCTTACAGAGCAAATTTGTTTTCTGTTCAACAGTTCATATACATTTGGTCTTGGGACATTGATTGCAATCCCCACAATGTAATAGCTCTCTTCCCACATTCTCCCTCTGGTTACCTTTTCCCGTGACCTTCCCTCCTGTGCATTCCTGCCCTCTGAGCTTTCTCCCTGCAAATGCTACCCTTCTTGTCTCCCATGGTTGATTGTTCTAAGGAATGTACCCACCTCTGTTCGCCTAGTAGTCTTGTCTCTTGTTTTGCGGGAAGTTAAGACATGGGAGTGAGTTCAATTCCAGGCCTGAAGGGTGACTAAGGGCCATAGTCTTGGGGTTTTCACCAGTTTCTATTAGACCATTATGCTTGGGGTTCTAAGACATTTTTAAGATTCTTTAACATTCAAAACTTCATCTTTTGCCATTTTTGTCATCTCCTGAGTCTGCTTTAAGGAAAATCTCTTAAAATGAAAAGGAGTTTTCTTTAGGACAAACAAATGTAAAGGAAAATTTATCTCAAACTTGTTCTGAAAAACCCAAACCAAACTCACTGCCATTGAGTCGGATCCAACTCAGAGCAACCCCTCCTTCGGTTTCTGAGGTGGTATCACTAAGGAAGTAGATTGCCCAACCTGCCTTCCAAGGAGTGGCTGGTGGATTTGAACCACCAGCCTTCTGGTTAGCAGTCAAATGCCTCAGGCACTACACCACCAGAGCTCCCAAATTCGATCTAGGATAGAGCCTTTTTGCCTAATTTACACCTCCTCCTTGGAAGAAATAACTATTCCTGATAAAATATAAGCCATTTTGGATAAACTTAAATATTCTGGGAAAACTAGCTCCCTTCCCACCCAGCTATTACTTAAGAATCTGTTGTTAGTTGCCATGCCATAAGTCAGCTCTCACTCATGGTGACCTTAGAACAGAATGGTGCTTGGTGCTGTGCCATTTTCATGGTGATTGGCATATTTGGGCTCATCTTTCAGCACTATATTGGACAATATTCTGGTGGTGTAATCACTGGCTAATTTTGAGATCACCAGGTCTTCAATGTTAGTTTGGAAACTCCAATGAAACCTGTTACTATGGGTGACCTTTGCTACTATTTGAAATACTGGTGCCATAACGTTTGGCATCATAGCAAAACACAACTATAAAAATGGCATGGAGGAGGGCATCTGACCTCCTTAGCTAACTTCACAAGGCGGAGGAGACTCATTAAAACATCAACAGCCAAGGCTGATTGCCCTGAGACAGGGGTCAGACATTCATCCTTTCTCCAACCTTTTTAAAGACTGGCTAATCTACTTCTGTAAAGATTTACTGCCTCGGAAACCCAAAGGGGGTCATTGTGAGTTGGAATTAGGAGCTCTGGTAGCACAGTGCCTAAGGTACTTCACTGCTAACCAGAAGGCTGGCGGTTCAAACCCACCAGCCACTCCTCCGAAGGAAGATGGGACAATCTACTTCTGTAGTGATACTGCCTTGGAAACCCAAGGAAAAGTCGCTATGAGTTGGTCCGACTTGACGGCACATAACAACACAACATGAGTTGGAACTGACTTGGTGGCAGTCAGTTTGATTTTGGTTTTAGTCCTTCCCACAGCACTCTCCACTTCGCTGCTGGATTGTAATGGCCACACAAAGCTCAGACAATATTCATGATTATGGGGTTTATTAGGGAAGTAACAGGTTACAATTCAGGATCTGGAATGAATCACGATACTGTTCTTTGGTCAGGACAGCCTCTTCTTAGCTGTGCTGGTAAGTAGGCTTCAACTCTGGCCTCTCAGCCCCTTGGCGTGTCCGCTGCCCTGCTCAGGCAAGTGTTAGAAAGCTATTGTAGCCCTGCCAATAAGTGCCCAGACACACCCCACTCCACCAGTGAGCCTCAGCCTGAAGGCACTCGGCTTTCTTGTTCCACGGGCAGAGAAGCCCCGTTGCGCAGTCTGCTGGTTCTGCAGCTCTTTCTCTCTGTCTCCTGGGTCTAGGAGATGCACTCTACTCCTGGCTCTTCTTTCTTGGTAGCAATCAGGTGTCTCCCCAACACAGACACCCCACGGCTCGATTCTCTCTCCTTTTATCTTTTGTAAGATAAAAGATGTGACTTAAGCAAGGGTAGTGACTTGGGTAAGGGTGACGAATCCCATCCTAATCCTGCTTCATTAACATAACATAACCTAATATTCATTAATATAACCTAATCCTGCTTCATTTACACCAGAGGTCAGGATTTACAACACACAAAATGGAGGATAATGACATTAGCTCACAAAATGGAGGGCAACCACACAATACTGGGAACCATTGCCTAGCCAAGGGAGCTCTGGTGGTGTAGTACCCAAGGCATTTGACTGCTAACCAGAAGGCTGGTAGTTCAAACCCACCACCCAACTCCTCAAAAGGAAGATTGGGCAATCTACTTCTATAGAGATACTGCCTTGGAAACCCAAGGAGGGGTCGCTATGAGTTGGATCTGACTCCACAGCAGTGAGGTGAGGAGCCTAGCCAAGTTGACATGTAACCCCAACCTCACAGGTTCCATACACTTTATTTGCATTAGCAGCAAGCTGTCCAATCTTTGGTGGACCACCTTATTTGCAAAGTTCCATTCAGTCATTGTGTGGGAGTGACAAAGACTATGGCTGGCAGGGCCATATTAAGTAATTCACTGCACCGCAGTAGGTCACCACAGTCAGACAAAACAACAGATGGGTAGTAGTCAAGAATCTAGTGACCCATAAATAGAATTACTCTTTTTGTGTCTAACTGTTCTTTTTCTTCATAAATGTCTCTTCCTAGAAACGTGAAATTGGCTCTGCCCTCCCAGCAAAATAATAAAATTTTGACATGTGTCCATAACTAAATTATCAGCACAGATGTTAATGTTGTTTCTAATCAAGGACGAAGAGGTTGTAATTGCTACTGAGCCAGTCTTGTGTGGAGAAGAGCCCCAAGGAGCAGACCAGGTGGTGGTGACTTCAAAAAAAGAAAGAAAAGTAAAACATCCAGGTGCCTCCTAAAAGAAAGAAAAGTACAGCCCCAGAGGACAGTTGTGTCCTGGGGTGGATCTGGAGATTGAGTAACAGAAGGGTTCCTAGTACTTCCAGAACCCTCAGTTGTCAGATAGGAATAATAACCCCCTTCACAGTCCTGTCTATTGTAAGGCCTATTGAGACCCCATGAGGCATAGCACAAGAGGGTGCTAATTGACAATCTGAAAATTCAACACAAAGAATGAATGAATAAGTACATAAAAGTACTTTGTTTAGAGGATCAGTGTGAAAAGAAGAAATTAAGGGTAAAATCACTTTAATAACATTGCTTAAATTATGTACACCTGCTGAGGTTTTAAATGTCCTTTTAATGAAAGTTTCATATTATTTGTCAGTTGTACTATTTTTCTTTAAGATAGGGTGGAGAGGCCCAGAATAAGATCCACCTTGGAATAGACGCATTATCTACACTCCCAGGACCAACAAGTGACCCATAGTTGAAACAGCACATCCAGGTTTGGGTTTGTTTGCACACCTTGGTCAACCAGATTATCAGTTTAGTTTTCAGAAAGCAACATGCAATTTTTTAAAAGGTAACACTTATTTTATTTTAGGTATCCTTTCCTTTTTCTTTTCTCCGATCTCACTCTCTTTACAAAGGGCTTCTGGTGCAAATAAGATACCAAGGATACCATTCAGTATAGATTTGGATTCTGAACTTTAATAATACCTCAGTGGTTTTGAAACCAATCAAAGTTAAGACTTTTCTATCTCAGGTAAACTCACTGCCATCGAATCGCAAAATTAAATTTGCTCAAGCTTAATAACCCCTTCATCCCACCTATAATTCCCTCCTTTCCTTTCCATCCTCCCTGACTTTTCCCACCCCTCCCTCTTTTCCTGGTTCGAGTTTATCCCTTCCTCCTTTAAACTTTCTGAACCCATACAGTCCTCTCTTCAACACACTCATTAGACAACTGAAGCATGAAGTGTATCTTTTGATGTTTAGCCTGTCATATATGTATGCTTTCCCCAAAATTCAATGTAATTCCCTCAGTTTTGACAGGTTTAATTCTTTTCTTTTCTAATCCTTCACAATGCCTAAAGCAGTAACTTGGACCTAATCATATTACAAGAAACAATATTTTGATATAAAATTTCTATTAAACTCTCTTGTCTTTGGTTGTCTCCTTCCTCACTTGTTCCCCTAAATAGATAATGGATCTAAAAATAAAGCACTCCACAGACACCGCAGTCCCGCGCGCCCGTAGCCGGCTGCAGAGTAGCTATGCAGACCCAGACCCAGCTCCAGGCTCCTCCGAACTCTCCAGGGCCCCGCAGTCTGGGATTCAGCTCGCAGTGCATAGGGCCCGGGCCACTTCCGGCCGCCCGGTTCCTCGGTGAAAACTGCAAGCGCCTAGGGTACCCCTAGGGCACTGTCTGCTCCTGCAGATCCCCTAGCCGCGAGGGACTAGCGTCCGCGCTGACCGTCTAATCGCCTGGAAGCTACTGCCACGTCAGGGCAACTTCACAAAACCCGGCGAGAGCGGGTGACGCAGGACCGGCGGCTGCGGCGGGGTTGGACCAGTGGCCAAACGACAAGGCCGATCTCCAACCCCGGTGCCCGGTTCAAAGACGCCCCGGCCGGCGCCGGCGCCTGCCCGGCCTTTAGGGAGGCGGGGAGCAGCAGAGGAGGCGGCGTCATCGTGAAGCTCGCGCCTCGCCCGCAGCCTTGCCGCGTCTCCTGCCCGCAGTCCAGGAGGAGGTGGGCGGTGCCGCGGAAGCTCCCTCGGCCAGGCCCATTTGGCCCGAGCAGCGCTGAGACTGGGACAGTGGCGGTGCGGAGAGGAGGCGGCGGCTGGCCGTGAGGCCGGAGCCGGCCCATCCACCCGCCATGGAGACCCGCTACAACCTGAAGAGTCCGGGTAAGCAGAGTGGGAGGCGGCGGGCGGTCTGGGAAGGGTGGACCAGGGAGGGCGGAGTGCCCTTGGACTCTGCAGCCCGGGGTGGCGGTCCCCTAGTGTCCGCCGCCACTCGCGGCTCCGTTCCCGGCTTCGCACTCAACGCGAGGCCGCCGCTTGCCAGGGAGGTGCAGGCCGCAGGGCGCAGATGCACCGGTTGCCAAACCCAAGGACTGGCTACCTCCTCGCACTACCCCGACTGCACCTTTTCTCATCTCCGCCCGGTAGAGAGGTATCATAAACTCATCCCTAAGAACAGGTGTGTGGGAGCTCTGGTAGCATAGTGCCTAAGGCACTTGACTGCTAACCAGAAGGCTGGCGGTTTAAACCCACCAGCCACTCCTCAGAAGGAAGGTTGGGCAATCTACTTCCGTAGTGATACTGCCCAAGGAGGGGTCATTATGAGTCGGTCCCATTCGACGGCACATATCAACAAGAGCAGGTGTGTAGAGGTGGTATCTGTGAGTAATAATTCCTTCTCGTACCTGCATCCCGAACACTGTCGCTACCACTGGACTTTTATTAGCTGTTTGACTCACCCGTATTTGAGAATTTGTTTTTTTTAGTACCCTATTTGCAGCATTTGGGACGAATAGGATTACAGAAATAAAGGAAATGCACTAGTTAACTAAACAACTAAAAAACTGTTGAGCCATGTACTAATTATGATTTTGCTAAACTGATAATATATTTGCATTCGGTCATAGATGTTTTTGTTCCCGTATTTGATGCACCTGCTTCAATTTACAGAAGCAGCCCAAACAATCCTAGCCTCAGATCTTTCTTAGTGCATATAAAGATGAAGGAAAAATAACCAACATTCCTCAGATTAAATCAGACTTGAAATGAATCATTGGGTTTCAGAAATGGTATTGAGTCTCTCCGTACCCTTGATAAAGTTGTCAGGAGGAGAAAAATGTCACCATTTAGCACTGAATGATAAATCCTAGGATATTAGTGATGATGTGTCCAACTTTTGCTACTTCTCCTTTTTTTTTTCTTCCCCAAAAAAGCTATTCTTCAATAGATCAGTAGGAATCAGCAGACTAACATCCTTCTGGAAAGAATTGACATTGTGATTATTTGATTTATTTATTTATTTTTTAATCCTTCTGAATATACAAAGACTCCAGAAAAGCCTGAGGCTATTGATTAAGCAAAACTTTGTTACCTGAATGCTGTCAAGCCAAGAAATAGCCTTTGGTGACCAAGTGTGTAGAACCAGTCATAACCTTTTGGGGCTTTAAAGTTCTGGTGAAGGCTTTGGGCTTGCCAAGAAATAAAGTTATACAATTAATTTTCAGTAGGTTCACTACTCCCCTCCTCCAGCCCTTGCTTAAGTACCTTTTGTTGTTGTTGGTATTGTTATGTGCCGTGGAGTCACACCTGACTCACAGCGACCCTCCTTGGGTTTCCGAGGCAGAGGCAGTATCACTATGGAAGTAGATTGCCCCATCTTCCTTCCGGGGAGTGGCTGGTGGGTTTAAACCGCCAGCCTTCTGGTTAGCAGTCAAGTGCTTTAGGATTACACTACCACAGCTCCCCTTTAAGTACCTTAGAGTAGGGGAAAAGAGGGAAAGCAAAGAGAAAGAAGAAAAGGAAAGCATACTTTTTAAGGTTAGATGGTAGAAAGATTGATTTATTTAGATTGTGGTAGGTCTAAATAAAACTATTTGGGTAACAATGTGGTGACTCCTTGGTCATACAGTACCCTAAGCTCCTTAGGACAGTGGAGGTACTTAGTAGAATGTCTAGAGAGTAATGAAATGTGAGTGGTTGTGCAGTTTGGAATGAAGAAGTGGTAAGTTCTAAAGAAATTGTTGTGGGAGGACATTGCTCAATTTTGATAGGTTATCATATTTGAGATTGTGATGATAAGCTTTTTTACTTCTCCAGAATTTTGTATATCTCCAAAGTATATAACCCGTTAGCTGCTAAGCTTTGATTAACATGCTTCTGTGTAATAAATTGCTTCCTATTTTTGGTTTTATTTCCTCAAAGGTAGTATTGGTATTCTAAAAGAGAGAAGAATTAAAATATTTATGTATTTTTGTTATTGTGTGGATCATTTAGAGTTCATAGAAAAGGTGAATTAAATGAGATACGGGTCTTATTGAAAATGCCAGGAGGCTTGGTAAAAATGCTTCCTTCCTCTGTTTTATTCTCAGACCTATGACACTTTTAGAGTAATGACTATGTGAGAGAGTGGTTAAAAACACAACCAAAAAAAAACCAAAACCCACTGCCATTCGAGTCAATTCTGACTCATAGTGACCCCCATTGGCTTTCTGAGGTGGTAAATTTTTACAGAATTAGATTGCCCTGTCTTTTTTCCTTGGAGTGGCTGGTGGATTTGAACCTCCAGCCTTCTAGTTAGCAGTCAAATGCCTTAGGCATCAGGCTACCAGAACTCCTTGTTAAAAACACAACACAATGTGAATCCTGACCTCTATGTGTTAATGAGGAGCTCTGGTAGCGTAGTGCCTAAGGCACTTGACTGCCAACCAGAAGGCTGGTGGTTCAAAGCCACCAGTCACTCCTCTGAAGGAAGATGGGGCAATCTACTTCCAACTGGACGGCACATAACAACAACAACATGTGTTAATGAGGCAGGATTAAATATGCTAATGAGGATTAAGTTATGTTTGTTTTGTGAATGAGGTATGTATGATTAGGATGGGGTGAAACGGCCCTGATCCCTGTAAGGGGAGTTTTCCTGGGACCTCAGTACCACCAAGAAAGAAGAGCCGAGAGCAGAGCATGTCTTTGGACTTGCAGTCCTGAAGCTGAGAACTTCCTAGACCCGTGGGAAGACACATAGAGGTCTCCAAGGGATGTTGGCCCACAAATATTAAAAGGAGAAATACACTTTCCTCCAGAGCCAACAGAGAAAGCCTTCCCCTAGAGCTGGTACCCTGAATTTGGGCTTCTAGCCTCCTAAACTGTGAGAATAAATCTCTTTGTTAAAGCCTTTCACGTGTGGTATTTCTATTATAACAGCACTAGATATCTAAGAATTTTCTTCTCCATCTGATGTAGAGTTGCCTTAGAGGTTTGGATGGGAAACTTAATATAGATAAGTGCTTAAAGGCCAGTTTGCTGGCATGGATGGTGAAATTATTCATTTCATAAATGGGAGCCTTTTTTCTTTAAGGTTATTCTTCATATTATTCTTGAGGCATTTGTTGGTTTATGTATTCATTTGGAGAGCCTCCATACACTCCAGAGTTGGGTTGGCTGTAACTATTACAGAGGCTGCTCGACAGAACCGCTGGGCGGGTTTGAACAGGCAACCTTTGGGTTACTAGCCAAGTACAAGACCCTCTGCGACACCCAGGGACCTTCTTCATATTCTTTATGGTTGTGATTGTCCGCCAAGCTCTTGTACCAGCTACCTCATAAGCCTCTGATTATTAGCCTATCCACAGTGCCTGTGGACCAGGCTCCCTGATTCTTGTTTGTGTCTGCTCTGCTCTGGCCACCATTGTAGGGCCTAACTGTACAAAGGAGGGAGATCTATGTATAAAGAACCTCTCTGGGCAGCTTTCTTCAAAAGAAGACTATTGGCATGTGCAGTAGATGATAAGAATGTGAGATTGGTATGTACTTACCAGAAACCTAGGAGTTATTCTGTCTGTGCCCTTGGCATTAACTGCACCTTCATGCTAATGATTCAAGTTTTATGGCCAACTCAGATCTTTCTCCTATGCTATAGATACATAGAGTTTACTGGCGACCCAACATCTTCACCTAGATTTTTCACCAGGTTGAAAAAATGTCTATAAAGTGTACAACTGAACTTGTCAGTTTTTTCTCCGTCCCCAAACTTGCATCTCACCCAAGTATTCCTTATCCCACAGATTGACAGCACCCAGAGGAATCATCTTAGATTTCTTGGTCTACTCCCATGCCTTGTACCCTGCCCTGAAACACATAGACACGTGTATATATGCATACACAGACACACATATCTAATCAGTCATTATTGCCACCAGCTCATTTAAAACAAAAAAACTAAAACTGGTTAGATCACTCCTCAAATTCAAAATTTTTCAGTAATTCCCACATAGCTATGGATAAATTGCAAATTAAACTTTCACCTACAGACTGCTCATCTGATCTTTGTCTCCCTCACTAGCCTCATCTCCAACCACTCCTGCCCTTCTTTGCATTTCACCATCTATCCATTTTGCCTGAGCAATTCCCCAGATGAAGCAGCCCTTCTAACTTACATGCCCTGACCCCTGTTGGAACCTCTATTTGGAATACTTTCCCCTTAATCCATATGAAATTCCTGTTCTTCAAGCTTATTTTAGGTTCAGACTTGTCCAGCTTCACTAGGTAGACTAAGGTACTCCCCCTACTTTGTGCTTGATCAGTCCTATCACACTGTGTTATAATTGTTTTCATTTCTCTCTCTACTCACTGTGGGCTTGTCAAGGACAGAAAGCAGGTCTCAGGCATTCTGCTCAGACATTCTGTAAATGTTGAATGGGTGTTTTTGTGAGTTCTTCTGGGCAGAAACATCAGTCCTTAAAATTAACTTTTCTATGAGTTAGAGCCATGTGCATTGGGTTCATTTCCCTGATACCATCTGCTTCCTGCATTTCACCCATGTGTTAGGAATTGATGGTATCAAAATATGTGTTTTCCAAGAGAAATAGATGCATGGGAAATAGTGGTCTGCAAAAAAAGTCCCTTTATTTACTAGTTGGCTCTTTGGCTGCAAGCTCCACTCTAAGTCTAGTGAGCTAGCCAAGAGCCTAGAGTCGACCCAAGTGACCATGTAGCCTCCATGAGAAGAAAGAATGAAAATGGGCATACAGGTGTGGAAGTAGAAGGTATCTACCTTCCCTGATGCATCTGATCGCAAAGAATTCCACTGAAAAGAGATAAGAGAGGAGCTGAAGAGAAAAGGATTTCTCTTTAGTTATGTAGAAATGAGAGAGGAAATATCAGGAGGAACTAACCATGCTCTGGTCCTCGTTTCCAGGTACGCAAAACTACGCAATGCACTGCTGTTGAGTAGGATTCAACTCATAGTGACCCCTTCTTGGGTTTCCAAGGTGGTATTACTACGGATGTAGATTGTCCAGCCTTTCTTCCAAGGGGTGGCTGGTGGGTTTGAACCACCAGCCTTCTGATTAGCAGTCAAATGCCTTAGGCACTACACCACGACTATTCATAGCCATAGGAGCCAGGGTAGCCATTATATGAGGCAAGCTACACACACTTAACAGCTGGAGAACCAGGAGAATC